GTTTTAGAGAGAGTGTGTGTTGAAGACGCAAGGTTGGTATGTGTTCTTTATCATGAGAGACAGAGAGAAAGAGAGAGAGAGAGAGAGAACTTGTACTATATTTCACACACTAAACAACCTAATAAGCCTACATAAGCTTATATAAAGGATACAAGTCACCTTAATAACACAAGGGTCCTACTAACATAATGTAATTACATAATGGCCCAACATATATATATATATAACATTCTAACACTCTCCCTCAAGTTGGAGAATATATATCAAATAATCCCAGCTTGGAACAGATAGTTCTTAACCGGTTATGACCCAATGCTTTGGTAAACATATCAGCTAATTGATCTTCAGACTTCACGAATGGAGTAGAGATGCTCCCACGTAATATCTTTTCTCGAATGAAGTAACAATCAACTTCAATATGTTTGGTCCTCTCATGAAACACAGGATTTGAGGGAATGTGAACTGCTGCTTGATTATCACAGAACAATGGAGTAGGAGCTTCAACTGTCAACCCAAGTTTTTTTAGAAAATGTTGTATCCAGGTCAACTCACTAGTAGTCTGGGCCATTGCCCTATACTCAGCTTCAGCACTAGATCGAGCTACCACCGTTTGGTTTTTACTTCGCCATGTAACAAGATTTCTTCCTACAAATATGCAGTAGCCTGTAGTAGATCTCCTATTTGAAGGAGAACCAGCCCAGTTGGCATCTGTAAAACCTTCCACCCTAAGATGACCATTTGATTTATATAGTAACCCAACACCTGGAGCTTGCTTGAGATATCGGATAATCCAAAGAACAGCAATCCAATGTGGCATTCTAGGAGCTCCCACGATTGACTTAGAACACTAATTGCATATGAAATATCAGGTCGAGTGATGGTGAGATAAATTAATTTCCCAACAAGGCGATGAAATCTGCCTGGATCATTAAATAAATCACCCTCATCAGACACAAGTTTTGTATTCGAATCCATAGGAGCATCAACTGGGCAACCACCCAACATACCTATTTCTTCTAATAAATCCAACACATATTTTCGTTGGGATAAACTTATACCCTTCTTGGATCTAGCAACTTCAATACCCAAAAAATACCTAAGTTTACCCAAGTCTTTAGTGTGGAATCGATATTGCAGAAACAGCTTCAACTTAGCAATGCCTTCAGAATCATCACCTGTGATCACAATATCATCTACATATACCACAAGAAAGATGAAGCCAGCTTTAGTGCGCTGGTGAAATACCGAATGGTCGATCTGACATCTGTTAAGACCAAATTTAAATGCCGCCTCAGAGAATTTTCCAAACCAAGCCCGTGGAGATTGTTTCAATCCATATAGGGGGGCCTTTTTAAGGCGACAAACAGTGTGAAGATACTCCCACTGAGCAGCAAACCCAGGTGGTTGCTCCATATAAACCTCTTCTGCTAAGTCACCGTGCAAAAAAACATTTTTAATGTCTAACTGAAACAGAGGCCAATTTCTATTAGCAGCAAGAGAAATCAAAACACGAATAGAAGAAATCTTAGCAACAGGGGCAAACGTCTCATCATAGTCACCATAAGTCTGGGTATAACCTTTGGCAACAAGACGGGCTTTTAAAAGCTCAACGGACCCATCTGGAAGATACTTCACAGTGTATACCCAGTGACAACCAACAGGTTTGACACCTGGAGGTAATGGAACAAGATTCCACGTGCTATTCTGATGCAAAGCATCCATTTCATCTTGCATTGCTTTCCTCCAGCCCGAATCAAACAAAGCATCCTACACAGTCTTAGGAACAAATGTAGTAAACAATTGAGAGGAAAAACATGAGAAGGATGACGATAAGGAATTATAAGAGACATAATGAGCAATGGGATGATTAGTGACACACGAGCGAGTATCTTTACGAAGTGCAATAGGCAAGGAATCAGACATAGTGGACTGTGTTGGATCCAAAGACTCTGAAGACGATGGAGGAGGCACGACAGGCTTTGGTCTTCGAGTGTACACCTGTAACGGGGCAGGCAAAGGAGATCTAGGGTGAAGAGAAAGTGAGGGAAATGGAACCGCAGGAGAGGCGACTCAGGAGTAATATCAAGAATTGAATCACTATCTGAAAAATATGGGACGGACTCACAAAAGGTCACATCCGCGCTAATAAAGTACCGTTGAGAAACAAGACTATAGCAGTGACAACCTTTATGAGAACGAGAGTATCCAAGAAATACACACTTTGTGGCACATGGGTCAAGTTTATCAAAACCAGGACCAAGATTGTGGACATAACATACACATCCAAAAACTCTAGGAGTAAGAGAAAACAAAGGAGAATCAGGAAATAAAATAGAACGTGGAGATTTGCCATCTAATACAGATGACGGCATACAGTTAATAAGATGACAGGCAGTAAGAATAGCATCACCCCAAAACCGTTTAGGCATGCGCATATGAAACAAAAGAGCACGGGCTACTTCTAAGAGGTGTCGATTCTTACGTTTTGCAACTCCATTTTGTTGAGGAGTATAATAAACACATGAATTTTGATGAATAATTCCTTTATCACTAAGATATGTATCAAAGGAGGTTGAAGAATATTCCTTAGCATTATCAGAACGTAAAATACGAATTGGGCAGCCAAACTGAGTTTTGATTTCTTTTCGAAATTTTTGAAAAATTAAAAATAACTCAGAACGATCTTTCATCAGAAACAACCAAGTCAGGCGAGAATAATCATCCACAAATGTCACAAAATAATGAAATTTTTTGATTGAAGAATGCTTTATTGGACAGATACCATGTTCTACCATGTTCTTTATCATGAGAGACAGAGAGAAAGAGAACTTGTACTATATTTCACACACTAAACAACCTAATAAGCCTACATAGGCTTATATAAAGGATACAAGTCACCTTAATAACACAAGGACCCTACTAACATAATGTAATTACATAATGGCCCAACATATATATATATATATAACATTCTAACAGTATGAAAGAGAGTTAATAGGGAGTGGAAAATATATATTTATGGGAGGTTGAAAATTGGTAGGAAAGGGATCCTCAAAGTTGTGCATTTTAAATTACGAAACAAATTTCAGTTTTTTTGATAGGTCAAGGTGTCGGTCGAGCTTCCTGGGTTCCAGTCAATCAATAGAGGTATCGATCGAGGCCTACTGAATTCTAGTGCCCTGTCTTTCCAACTTCTGATCGATCAAAACCTTTTGGAATCCATTTCAATAGATGGAGACATTGATCAAGGTTGTCTGGATCTCAACTCTAGTTTTCTTCTGTTCAGTGGATTGGCAATTGATCGACACGCATTGTTTCTAGGAGAGTACAAGGACCGAAACTCTAGGCCCTAATAGAGACAGGATTTAAACCTAAAAGGGGGGACAGGATTTGTAGGCTGTCCTAACTACTTTTAATTTTTTTTAACTAAGTAACTTAAACTTAAATCAATAAAATACACTGAAAATATGTGAATCAGTCATGCATGGACAGATCACATCAATTATGTATTAAGTAAAGCAATAAAAAGCATGCACAATAGATACCAAGATTTTTACATGAAAACCTGGAAGGTAAAAACCCCGGAACCATGTCCATTCATATCAAATCCAATATATGAAGAAGTTATTACACTAGGTTGACAGTTCAAAACTCCAGAATTTCTAGTCACCTCTTGACACAGACTGATTCACCAAACTCACACTCAGAGTCTTCAGGCATCTGCTCCGTCAACAGATTCCGCAATCTGCTTCTTCAATAGCTCTTTGATCTCCAGACTAGTCGTCCAAACCAATTTCAGACGAATAGGTTGAACGTGTTGAACTCTAATTGAGATCAGCAATAATAGATCGTCAGCATGTGCATAAAACTCCATACCCTATATGCTGAATGATTGATGATGAAAAACAAAATTTTATGCACTCAAAAATAACCTCGAACAATATTTTATGTCTATTTATTGTATTCTCTGTGTCTGCAATTTTTTTTTCCCGATAACCGGGGTGCCTGGGGCTTTGCCCCCAACTAATCCACGGGACCCGTGCAAGGCCCCCAATGCACACACATGGATCGGGTAAAGATTGGACTATTATGTCCACGTGGCCCGTAAAGAATTGTTTGCACCTAGAAGGAATCAATCCCGAGACCTGATGAGATATTCATAGACAAAATATAGTGTAGAGATTAAGGTCATAGTATTTTATTCACAAAGGAAACCTCATTTTTTAATGGTTCAATTGATCAAGTTTCCATTTCAATTATGTTCAGTAACCTTCTTGATATGTCGAACGACCAAAGTGCAATGCGCAGCTATACTTAGAAAATTCAAATAAAGGAGTTCCAAAACCTTGTAATGCATATCAAAAAAGAATTTTCTAAATCAAAACATGTATTAATAAAGCTTAATTTATGAATGCATAAACCCTAATTTGGTGAGTGCATATTTGTATATCAAAATTACCTTTGTATCCTTGGCTTTTAAGATTACCATTCTACCCTTGGATAGACTTCAATTACCATCATCATCCGCTGGCATGCATCTTTGCATAATCTTTAAGTTGAAGTTTTTCACCTTAGTTATTGCAATAGGATTGTAAAGTCTCATTGGTTTGCAATTTTACTGATGTACCAACAGGTCAGTGGCCTAGCGGTATCAGACCCTTACTTCCCAAAGGGAGGTCAAGGGTTCAAGCCTTAGTGGAGGCATGTGTGTACGAGTACCAATTATGAAAATAAATAAATAAATAAATTCACTGATGTGATTGATTACTTGAGAGCTTGAGACAATATGACTCTGCGCGCTTGAAAATTGCTCTCCCTGATGGGATTTTCAGCTGTTCTTTCTTTGTAAATAGTTCCTTGCATGCAGTCATCCCCTACCTGTCATATTCGAGTTCTTCTATTACCTGATTTCTTCCACATCCCTCGTCTGCTTTTTCTATTCCTTAACGTCTGGGAGCACATTCATCTTAAACTGAGTTTTTTTGTTTCCCCACCTACAGGGACATCTGCACACATACAGATTCTGCGACAATGTTTGGACCTTCATCTTACAAGATGCTTTATTTAAGAACGAAGACACCCAGGAGAATGTTGGTCGGGTGAAGATAGTGGCATGTGACTCGAAGCTGCTCATACAATGAGACTCTCACATGTGAACGATAATGTTCAATAAAGGGTTTTATTTCATTCCGGTGGTAGTAGAAGGGGATGTTGGAAAGGAAGAAAGGAAGAAGTACTTCTCCTGTCAGTTGTAGTTGCAGGAAAGAGATTATGAGGATTAAACACTTGTAAAAACAAATCAAACTGTATGACTATAATTGCTGGATGTCGTCATATAACCACGCCACGTATATTGTGGATGGTTATTTCATCCTGTGTGTCTTATTTTAAATAAGTTAGATGTCTTGGATTATAGCTTGAACATTTTGAATGTGGCTTGATTGTGTTGTTAAAAAACCTAGTTGGAATATGATCTTCCTTCAAGTGCCCTAGTCAACATTGTATGAATGGATTGGTCATTTTGGAATTGTGATCGTGTATATATGGTATCATTAAGGTAGTACTGAATTATGAATTACAAAAATTGAGTGTCACTAGTATAGTATAATAGAAGTGTAACGGGTGGTCCTTGGTCTATCTTTTCACTTCTACCCTCATCCAAATTTGTCGTGGACCCCAGCATTCTTATAGTAAGCCTTTGCCTTGGGACCGATGGAGATGAAGTGACATTACACTTGACCTTGTTAGCTTAGCCTTGTTAGACTTGCCTCTAGGACTCATTAGATGGAGATTCCTATGTGATTGACGCGGAGCTTGACCTTCCTTAGTCTCTAAGGAATAAAAGGAATCGAAGAAAGATAAAAAGAACACTATATGAGTAATTACAAAGAAAAGGCTTTGAAAAGGGAGCCTGGTCCAACTTGTATCTTCTCCACCCAAACTTGGGCAATGCTCTCGTTGCAGCAGGGGACCCTGTCTAGCAGGGGTTAGACCCGGACGTCCTCTGAGTTGTGCACTTGGCGTGACACTGAATTAAGAATTAAGTCTGACTATATTAACTGTAACAGGTGGGCACTTGCCCATTTATACACACTTCAACTCTATCTAAATTTGATGCAGGACAAGTCCCATTTGTAACAATAAGGTAGTCTCCTTTGTTACAAAAACTTTTCATTAACAGATGATTTCCATCCACACATATATATTTCTTTTTTCTTTTCCAAACAAAAAACACCCCATTTGAGAAAGTTGAACTCTCTTAAATAGAGTAGATAGCACTAAATCACAACCTTATTTGTCACAAATTTTTATAATAATGCTTGTTGTAAAAAAATTTAGTGCACATAAATCATGTTTCAACACGTATATTAAAAGACTTTACAGTAGTATACTATAAAAACCTATCCATATTAAACTGAAGCATATTGAAAGACAGATTGAAAGAGAAACAGAGACACAGTCCTTGGGAATGATGAAATTGAAGCTTGACCCTGTCCAATTCACCATTTCATCCAGCTTCTAGCATGAAAAGAATCCACAAGAATTTTCCATTGCTTCGATTCGATTATGTATGTTTGGTGAAATTGAAGTTAGGGTTATGGTGATTTGAGGAGGAATTAAGGTTTGAGAGATTTATAGTAGTGGGGAAAGATTTATTTTTCTCATTGCATATAAGGGCATATAAGTCTTTTTAGTCACTAACGGCAAACTATCGTTAGGCTATCGTTTGCAAACTTAATGGGGGCTATACATACATTATTTGCATATAACGAGGGGCTCTTGGTAATTAAGTCTGTATTATTTGATGGTAAATATTAGACATATTTGCACAAAAATAATAGCTTAGTCATACAATTTTATCTATTTGGTTTCATATTCTTTTGCAGATTCTTTATACGCCATGCGGTGTATTACTGTATTTGACTATAATTACATTACGAGTTTTTTTTTTTCCAACCTTTTTGACAATTAATGTTTAAAGCCAGTGATGGAGCTACAAAATTATCTTAGGGCTTTGGCCTTCCACAAAAATAAGGTAAAAAAATATTAAAACAACAATAATAGGGAGATTTTACCAAAAATTCAGTAGGTGTATTATTAAAATTTTAAAAAATAAAAATTAATAAAATTAATTATTAATATAAATTTACATATGTACACATAAAATGGTATGTTCGGACACTTGGTAGAGACTTGTTGAGGACAAACAGTTGCCTGCATTACTTTATTCTAGTCTTTATGGATAAAGCTTTTTTTTAAAAAAATTAATAATTAAAAATTAAAAAAGGGTCTTTATGGATAAACTCATACTTTGTTTCTATAAAAATTCTTAACAAATCGATATGATAATTTTTAGTAGGTAGGTATACGAATGATGTGGAATGCTCGACTCAATTTTCGGCCCAGATGGTTTCCGCCCACTTCAGTAAAGTTGCTTCGTCAAATATAGCATAATGCTTTGATATTCCTTTTGGGAGTATCTCCACACCTTTGGCATAATAGATATTCTACTTTACGTCAACATCACCAAGTCCAAGTCTTTTATTTTTTTATTTATTTATTTTGTTTTCTATAAACAAGAACATTAATCATAAGCATAGAACCAAACACATTTAACACCAACAGTCACCGAACCAACCAAACCTAACTAACATCTCTTATAATCAAGTTCACTGTCTTGACAAACTAAAAAATAGTGTCAGGTACATTGGGATTGAGAGGAATCCGAATCGAAACAATTAGACTAGTTGGACATCGACTCCGAATGGTAAAAGATTGGGACGAATCACCAAATCTAAGTCGTTTGTGAATAAAGGTCCTAATATTCCTTTAAAGCCTTATACTTTAAAAATTGTTAAAAAGAAAAAGAATAACACGAGAGAAAAAAGAAAAAGAAAAAAGAGAATACTATTAACCATTTAAAGTGTTTGGAAGGAAAAGAAAGAAAATGGTAATCATGTTTAGAAAAAGAATGAAAACATTTATTTTAATAAATTTACCACTACCACACCCCATGAAGCAAGAAAAATAATCCACACTTTTTATATAGACCGTTAAATTAAATCTAACGGCTCATTTTACAAACCCACTTATGGTCTTTTCTTTTAACACAAAACCACTCTCATCTTATTTTTAGTTTCTATATTTATAACAATAAAAGGTAATTATCAATTAAAATTAATGCAACATTTGTATACCTACCTACTAAAAATTTCAAAGATCTCTTTCTGTGCACCCAACATTTTCAATACCCCTACTTGCGTCTCAAATTGTTGACACGTAGGCACATTTACACTTGCAAATTGTTGAGCCAATTGTTTCTTCACATTTGAAACATTTCGATGTGACCTCAATAAGTGTATTTTTTTTTTGGAGTTACAAGAGGATGATTGCAGCTCTCAATGAATTGTCTAACTGTATAAATCCCATCACTTCTTCTTACACTTAACCTTGCTTTACAACCTTCGCGTACATTTCCTCGTTGTCTTTCTAATTTCTTACGGCTATCTCCAATGGTCTCCACCATCTGCTTTTCTTTTTTCTTTGTTCTTTTATAAGTTTCATCTGTTTCTCTTTCTTTATAACAAACATATTGTTTCCAAATCGTTTCACTAGTTTATTTATGCTTCTTACTCTTATCAATCCGTACACTGAAACTAGCTTCTCGTGCATACTTGTTATAAAAATCATAAGCATCATCTAAAGATTTAAATTGTTGCCCTTCTTTTGGTTTCCTTTCATACGTAACTTGTGGAATGAATGTTCCATCTTTTTGTGTTATTCGAAATTCTTCTACTTCATTCATTCCTAAAAAGAAATATGCAATTTAAATATTGTTATATTTGAATAAAACACAATCCTATGTAACAATCATTCCTGAACACATTTAGTAATACAAAATGTGGATATTTGTATGAATGCTCAAAATAGATTCAGAAGTTCAAACACAATCTGATGTTCGAGATATGTACACCATGTCAATTATCATTGTCAAAGGTCCGTCTAATTTTTTTTTTTTTTTTTTTTTTTTTTTTTTTTTTTTTTTTTTTTTTCTGAAAATCAGCAAGCAAACCAATCAATTATAAGTATTAAGGTGACTAACTTCATTTTTGTAAAGGGTCTAGAATTGCTTAAGATGAGTTTGTATGCAAGAGGTGTACCAGGAAAACAAAGAAAAATGAAGTCTTGCTCTGAATTAAAATTATATTTGAATCAATTAAAATAATGCAACAAGATTTTTACTTTATGTATTGAATTAGTGATTTATAAAACTGGGGAAATGAGGCTGAAGAATAGTAATTAGAATAAGGAGCCACACAAAACTTAAAGATTTAAAGGGAAAACAAATTTACTTTTTCAAAACAAAATAAATAAAGAAGAGGAAACAGACAAAAAAAATGTATAGTACCTTAGCTTGATTACCGCCTAATCCCTATCAATTCTCTTGTAATTCTTCTTTGTTTGACATAATCGTGAAAAATAAAGGTGAACATCTAAATAAAAACAAATTTATTAGTAAAATATACACGTATTAATTTTTTTTCAAAGGTTTCTATTTTTAATATGATAATTACCTTTTATTGTTACAGTATGTGGTAATGATAAAATTAAATATAGAAACTAAAAATAGAATAAGAGTGGTTTTGTGTTAAAAGAGAAGGCCATAAGTGGGCTTGTAAAATGACCTTTTAGATCTAACGGTCTGTATAGAAAGTGTGGATTATTTTTCTTGTTTTATGGGGAGCAAGAGATCAGGACTCTTTACCACTATACCTTTTTTTTATATGTTAAGCAAAATTGGTGTTAATAAAGTTTCATTAAAAATGCTAATATATTTTTTTCATTCCCTCCCTAATTTTTATTTTTTATTTTTATTATTATTTTTTTTTTTTGAAGAATAACAAAACCAACTCATCAAGCTTTAATATATCCCTTCAAATCGTATCATTCACTTTATTTTCCTTCCAAAATTTTATACCAAATACAAAAAATAACTGAAGATTAAAAGTGCAAGTTCTAAACGGATGTTTACTCGTAATAGCACTATTTTTTTTTCTGACAAATAACTCTCACAATACTCTTTATTTGGTGTGTGCAGTAATGAAATGGAATGTAAGTGGAATTGAAATGAGAATGGGAATGAAATGATCATTGTTATTCTATTGTTTGGTTGTAAATATAAAATGTGTAGGAATGGAATGAAAATAACCATTCTAATATTTGGTTGGACCAATTTAAAATTTAGAATGTAATTAATTTAAATTAAATTCTCCAAAATACCCCTCTTAGTGACAAATAAATTAAATTAACAAAATAAAATTATTCTATAATTTTTTAAAAAGAAATGGTAGTGGTGCTAGATTGCAATGAAGATGGTGGTGGAGGTGGAAAGCGATAATGGTGTAGGTGATGGCGTTGTAAGGCGACGATGGTGGCAATGGTGGAAGGCAGCGGCGGTAGTAGTGGCGGACGGAAGTGGTATTAGTGGAAG